GAGCGCTTCAAGACAAAACCCTGATGCAAAACGCATCAAAATCTTATAGTAATACAACATCCCCTAATTAAGTCATCCTGCCTATCGATTTCCAAAACTGTCTACTTTTCAATCTTTAGTATCAAACAAAATTTTAAAAATTATTTTTTTAAATATTAATTAACTAAATATTCAACCTACTGCTTGCAGAAATCTTCACCTGGAACACTGCGTTTGATAAAAAATTTGGCTGTTAAAGTTCCCTCTTGAAAAAAAAAAAGAAGTATAAAACTATTCCAAATGCTTAAGGTACAGTTTTTACCTGGCCAATGGAAATTCTAAAAAGTTGATTTAAAAACATGAGACAGTAAATTATCTTGCACATTTGTAGGACCTTTTACGATTCAGTATGTGCTTTGGATCATGTGCTTTGTGTACAATAAATTCTGTATTTTGTTTACCTCAAGAACAGGTTTTATAAACAACCAAAATCTTCAAACTTACACACTGCTGACTGTGAAAATTTCCTTTAAAGTCATAGCCTGATTCTTTGAACTGCTTAGTGACAGAAAAAGAAAGTGTCATTTTTAGCTATGCGTTGAGAAATCGGTACCTAGACAGAGCCTCTTTGGTGAGGTGTTCCAGCAGTTCATGTTCATCTCCAAGTTTACAACAGGAGAGATCCAAACACGTCAGCTCCCGAAAAGACTTAATTTCTTCTAGCTTTTCAGAGATAACCAGGTATCTGCAAAGTGGTGGGGAAAAAAAAAAAAAGAGCTTTCAGTGTTCAGGCACATAAGGCGGCAGTGTCACAAGTATAATGCAGTCATTTTTTGTAAGTACCTCTGTGAAAACAGACAGAAATTAGCCAGCTGTCCTAACTACCATTTTACGTGCAGCCTGTACACAAAACCTCTAAATTCCCAGTCTTCTCCTTGAACAAATATTGTGGTTTTGCTTTGATTCAAAATATTGGACTAGCAATTAAGACTTCGACTTGCAAACATTGCAATTAGGGACTTCTTTACAGATTATTATTGTATTATTTCAGAATAATGAAAAATAGATATTCCAGTTTACGATAAATCAACTTCACAAACTGTTCTTCCTCAAGATCTAGTGTAGACAAACCCTCATTCATCCAAGTTTAAAATCTACTTCAAGTGTATCAGGATAGCTTGTCAAATAGCAAAATTTTACTTTTTATATAACTGAATAAAATACTTCACTAGAGATGAAAATCCTACAGGACACCTGCAGGACTCCAACTAGAGCTGTGACTGCACGCCAAGCAGCAGTTATTTGGTGGGTTATTTCTTTAGCTGTGTTAGTTCCCTGATCTGATTCACTCTGTAGCCATGCAAACATCTGTGCTGGAACAATTCAGTAGGAGGTTTAGAGACGGGAACAAACCACTAAAGAATGGCATGCGTGAGTATGCAGCAATAAGCACGTAGCAGTCACTACCTCACCAGTCTCCCCTGCATTTCCTTCTTATTGTCCCCATGGCAAGACAAGCCCCAAATTCACTAATCTCTCTGGAATTTACCTTATATTCCCCATGGCAAGACAAACCCCGAGGTCAGCATCTTCACTGCTGAAATAAGGGGTGCTCACTAATTTGTCCCCTCGAGGAACACCTCTTTGGCCATGCAAATAAGGGGACCTTAATATCCTCTCACTACAAGTACACCTATCAAACTACCACACCAAATCCCTTTGCTATGCAATTCAGCAATGCAGAAGGCAGTACGTACAGACAATTCTTGAGAGATACTACTAGCTCAGGGAGGTTGTGAAGAGAAGAGTGGGCTCTGTTAGAAATAAGATTCATCAGAAATGCCTTAATATCTCACTTTGTGGATTTCAAAGACTCAATACTTAACTCAGCTTTCTGTAACGGCAAAAGATGCCAGAGGTAACTTCACTTCTTAATTAAGCCCATTAAAAGTATCTGTACTAGAGATAAAAAGGCAGTAGGTTTAAAGGATAAAACAAAGGATAATTGACCTCTGCTCAACCATTCCTACTGTGCTCAAAACACCCCTGGCGCTTCAGATGAATATGCCTGTACTTTGATTTTAAACTGGATAAACCATCCCTTTTTCAAATGTACAGATGGAAGACAGACTGGTTATATTACTGGGAAAGACTCCAGTAGGAGGAAGGCTTTAAAAACATACCCAGTTTTAAGCTTGGTGAGACTCTCTTTAGTGAAAGACTGTGGATATTGAGAAGATGGAAAAACTGGTGCTGGACTCTAATCAGAACCTCATTAAAGCACATTCAATATGGGGATGGGAACCACAATAAACTAAGGTAAAACCTGCCTGACTTCAAAACCTGTAATTTACCTACAATGCTATATTTTCTTCTGAGCCCCCAAAATGAAATGAGATAGCGAGCTTACAGTAAATAAACCCAGACAGTTTGCAAGGGTGTATTTTACCTGTACAGTCAGCTAAGTATGTTGAAATGCTTATAAACAGCAATTACAAAACCATTAAACACACAGATTGCTATGGAAGTGCTGATTATCTTTGTTAAAAAAACAGTTGCAGGTTTAATCCTTCACGTAAAATCCCCTGTTAGTTAACATGGATGTAGTATTATGATTTGTATCTTAGAATGAAACCACCAGCTGCACTTGTAGGAAGGAATGGGACAAAAGTAAGCAAGCAGCAAAGTGAGAATAGGCTCGGGTCATTTCATTAAAATTAGGCCCAAGAGATTTTTTTTAATTATTTTTGAGAGAAAATAATTTAAGGGAAACTTTAAGTGTGCTAACAAAAAGCACTAGCAGATGACAATATTGTTACTGAACACACTTACCTATTCCGCAAACATAATGAACATAGCACCAAATTGCCATATGCTTCAGTAAACTTCTGTAGAGCTCTCAGTCCTGTTACTGGTTCTGTGAACTTCTGTCTTGCTTCTGCAGCTGAAAAGAGCTTTTCAGCAATCTGCTCTGGGAAACCAATCAATGAGTCAATGTGATCAACATTGTCAGAAATGTAACCCAGCACTAGGCTGAAGAGAGACTTGGCCGAGTACCGGAGGTTCCCCTCCTTAGTGTACGTGAAGATGAAATGATCAGTCCTCTGCCTCCTTGCCCTATCGTCCTCCCTGTTCATACAAAGCTCCACTGAGAATCCTCTGGAAAACAGCCTAAAAGGTCTTGTTTTGGGAGTGACATTCTGTATGCCGCTTGCACCCTGATTTACCATGTGCAGCTTCCCATTTTCACGCACATATATTGGCCCGGTATCCAAATGGCTTTCAGAGTGGAGACAGTAAGACATTCCCCTCGTCCAGTTCTGCAAAAGCAAACCATAGACACGTAAAGAACAGCCACACAGGAAAACATTACTCAGGAAAGACCCCAAACCCTGGCAGCTCTCCCCAATGCTCTGAGCACGGCCATGTAACCCTGCAGCGCAAGGATGGCCGGGCTGCGTGGAACAGGGGTGTGCTGTCTGCCATCAAACCACAAACATCAGTCAAGCGGGAACCCAACCCAGGGCTGGCAGAGAAGCGAAGGGCCTTTGGTCTGTCAGGGCCCCACTGCTCCGTGCTTGGTGCCCATCAGAGGCCTGGGGCTGGGTCACCGCAGCATGGGCACAGGGACAGGCAGCCGCAGAGGGGTCTGGGGGGCTGTGGGAAGCGGCCCGCACACCTTGGCCTGGCTCTGCTGCAGGCGAGGGGGAGGAGGAGGAGGGCAAATGGCTGACTGCAGCAGGGCAATGGAGCCTGCTGGAGGATCTCCCTCCATGGGAGGGTGGGCAGGCTCCTGGTGCCAGCCCTGCCC